GAATCTATCCTTCAGATTTCCTCTTTTTTCTTCAACTGGTTTCTCTGTTTTTTTTTCCAGAGGTGCCAGGCATCTTTTTCTCACTGGACTTTCCAGACATTTTTCCAGAGAGCTCTCATCCAACTATCTCATTACTCCCATCACCTACTTCCTTCAGCCTGCCTGCTTCCTCTCTCTCCTCATAACATGCAACAACACTATCTACGAACCTCTTCAGAAAAACCCAAAGAGCGCCTGAGTCTTGGCCTTCAGCCTGTCATTCTGCTGCAGCTCTGTTTAACAGTGTAATATATGAAAGTAGTGTGGCAAAGCTTTTACTAATCTTTTAACTTCATTACTTTTGTAAAAGGTTACATTTTGAAAGTCGTTTTTTAACAGGTTTACTCTGACAGCCCAGAGCTTGTTTCAAATCAGAAGGCAGCTGGATAAACTTGAAGAACTTATCTTGAAAGTCACATATGATGGAGATCCAATTCCATTACAAAAGCCCCAGTTGGAAGAACGAGTTAAATACCTGATCTATCACCTCATCAAAAGGTATTATTACCATTTTGTCAACTTTTATATTGTACTAAAACATAAGTAACTTTAATATCTATCTTACATTTGGGATTTCTGGGTAATGTACATTTCCTATAGGAAAAAGGAACATCAAATGTAGTATATTATGCACACCTACAGTATACTGATGATATGGGATAGTATCAGAAAACAATAATAAATCACAATAGGTATATCTTAGTTTTTAATGAAGTGTTAATTTATAAAATTTATAAAATCAGTGTTCCTCATAGATTCATGGATGTTAACTAAAGAGTTTTTTGTGATTTTTGATTTCCCACCAGCTCCTTTATTGTTGAAAAACAGCCTTCAATGCCCACTCATCTTCAGAGACCACTCATTATTAAAACCCAGGTGCAGTTTACTACTAAACTCAGGTAAAGCTTCCAGTTTATAATTTCTTCCTCATGATTGTTTACTCATGCTTTAGTATTGAATCAGTATTCAGCCAATTACATTATCCTTTACCTGAAATTATTTTAATTTAACAAAAAACAACTGTCACACAAACAGCTTATAACACAATTATAGGAAAAATATTCAACAGGGGATTCCCAACCCAGTTCTGCAAAGCCACAGTTTTTATTTTTCAGTGTATTTCTAAACTAGGCGGCTGTGTGAGTAGTAAATTGCACTAGTAACTATCTTGCTGTAAATGGATCATCAGATCGTTATATAAATGAGTATATGTTCTTAATCTATACATGTTCTAATATAAAGTGTACAGAATTATTTAATTAGGTAATTAAACCAATCATCTCTTCAGGTTCCATTTGTTTAAAAGAGATATAAAATGTCTCTCTGTCCATATTATGTGTATACCCTTGTAGTTATTAATATTGTGCAGCAAATTCATTACTATTTAAGGAACAAACATATCATACCCATATTTTAATGTATGAAATGCCTGTTATTATTTTTGATGTTTTTAACTAATGACTTTTCATAACAGAATTAACAGTTACATTTTCTGTTTTTCCTCAAGATATTCATTTGACACATTCAAAAACACATTTTGAAAATATTATTATTTTCGGTATCAGTATCTGTAATACTTCTTTCAAATCTGTGGTCTCTGTAATCCTAGTTACAGTAAAATAGTTGGATTATTGACAATTTAAAAATATTTTGAATAAATATCAAATACCTAAATTAACTTTCAAAATAATGGATTAATCTACAAATAAACTTAAAATGAAAAAAATGTGTATGTAGCATTTAAGGCCAGAAATGTACAGTTTACTGAGTTTTACAGATCAAAATGCAACAGTACCACAATAATTTTGCTGCTGTACTGAAAGTAATTTATTCTGTGAGTAATTATTAGTGCAATTTTTGTTTTGTTCTGGTTGTAGATGAACCCCTTGTTTTATGGTGGTTATCAATACTACCTCACAGCTTCATGGTCCTGATTTCAGCTCCAGCTTGAGTTACTATGTGTATGGAGTTTATATGTTCACCTTTTGTCCATGTCTGTTTTATTGGCTACTCATAATTGTTCCTCCCTATGAGGGATCTGAAGGAGATTTCATACTGTACATAAGTAAATTGTTTTCAATACAGTACTAGGTGACTGCAGAGAAATAGATAGAAAAATGAACTAATTGGCCACCTCTCATTTTCAAAACAGAGAAGAAAAAGAAGAACAGTAATTTAGTGTGGCAGGTCAGCTAAAGAAAGGAATATAGAATTGTCTTGCCACTTGAGACCATTTATACAGTGTAATTGGTTAAGGCCAATTGGTTACATTTTCACAAGGGTGCATTTATTTGGTTGACATTTTGTTTCTTGGCTTGATAATTAAGTGTCCTTGACTTCACATCATGTGTTTTTTATGTGCAGACACACCCAACTTAGCATCTTAAGGAAGGGTCTGTTACATTTCAACAATAGTTAACATATTTATTATTTGTGGCTTAGTGATTGTTCATTGTGAGCTACAATGCATTCATTATTTTGATCATCTTTATCTTACTTAATAGAGCTATTCATGACTAATACTGGCTTTGTGTTGCATTTAATCACAACTGAGTGGCTTCATTTCAAGTTCTGATTTAAAGATAAATATCATCAAGATTCTTAAGAATATGGTAAATCAGAAGGTGGTTTCAAAAATAAATCTTCTTTCTATTCTGTTGCCTAGGTTGTTGGTTAAACTACCAGAAGTGAATTATCAGCTGAAGGTAAAAACAACATTTGACAAGTAAGTCAATGCAAAAAATTGATCAGGTGACCCTGAACTTTTCAGTCCATTATCTTTAGTAAATGACAAATTAAGTAAGTCCTGCAAATGTGCAGGTGCACAATCTATAATCTGTTTACAGTAGATAGTACATATTGTTAACTTCAGTTACTCATTATACGGAATGTCAAATTTAAACAAAGGGCAATCTGCTATGTCTCATATATAGTGTTGATATTAAAGGATGAATTTTCTGAAAAATAAATGTAATTATCAGCTTTTATACTGAGGATTCATACAAGAGGATGAATGTCTTTTATATGTTTTTTTTAAATCATTGTGAAGCGACACTAACACTATACCCATTGATAATTGATATTGTATCACACAATATACACATGCAAATCATATCAACTTAATCATTAAAAACATATTAACCTATGGTAAATTACAGCTCATCAGATGATGACACTGAAGATATTTTTGAATTATGGCACTCTTGGATGTTGGCATAACAGCAGTAGCATAGATTTTTTTTTTAAAGACACATGCACATACTGTACTCTGCTTTTGTGAGAAATGCATACTGTTGATTCAAACAAATGTAAAAACACGGGTCTAGAATGAGCCGAATCTCCAAAATCTTATAAGACTGTTTCCAGAACACAAATGTAAACACAGCTATTGCTTATCTCTCATTAATGTTTTCTCATTTGTTGAAGATTTTTAACTTTTTGAAATCAACCTCAGAGTAGTTAGAAATCTAAAGATGTCCAAATGCTCTACGATGCGTGCATTATGGTTTTACCCTGGATTATACTTTACAGTATATCTTACTGATTGACCATGATTTTCCAAGTACTCTTGCTCTGCCACTTAAGGAATCCTGGTCAGTGTCAGCTAGTGAGAAAACCAGTTTAGAGGACATTAGACAGGACCTTTGGCTCTAAGAAATACAGCATTTCTTGTGGCTTTGTAGGCTTTTGCAAGTTTATATAGAATTACCCCCCAAAGACAAACACATATTATGCAGTTTCAGGTTTTGCAGACATGTGGAAGGCACTCATTCACAATTAGTAAGCATAGCACAAAATAAATGGCAATTCTAGGTAATAAAATAAGAAACAATATGCAAATAGACCTTTACCTAATACTTGTTTATAATGTGTGATCATAGAGATTGCTCCGTGCTCTGGTGATTGCCTATTCGGTTTTACTTATTCTATTTCATGTTTTGCAAGTGGATATTTGACACTAATGCATGTGGACTGTGGTTTTAAAAAGTGCTTAAAAACTAATTTTCAGTTTCTTTTAAAAATTCTACCTCCAGTATGTCATAGATAACTGAGGATAAAATTAATAGTCATATACAGTATATGATGTTTAGTTGTTTTTTCCAAACTAGTGATAAAAGTTTTATTTCAAGTTTCATAGTAAAGAGTTTAACATTAAGTTAACTCAGAATTTTAATTCTTGTTACAAGAAATCGATAGATTAACCTGTACAGGCAGCAGAACAATGCTCCATTCACCAATGAGCAAAACATATTCTTGGGGAGAATGAACCATGCTTCCCCCTTCAGACTTCATTAAATATCCTGTTCTCTATTACAGAATTGCATTGCTTCAATCAAGAAAAAAAATATTTTATGAGTTATCTTGTAATTTTGAGAAAATCATCTCATTATTATGAGACAGCAATGACCATTTGGGTATATGAACAACCCTTTATATTGTGCAATGACAGCACCTATAAGCTACCGATAACTCTGTTGGAATTAGTGGGTTTAGTGTTTGTGACAATGTCCAACACTGCAATATGTGCACAGACGTATTTTCCACTGGGATTTATTCATAATGAAATGTTACAATTTGTACAGAATGTAAACACAATTTTAACTACTAGAACACTCATACAGTATGTATCCTTAGACAATAATGAGTCTGCTGTGCAATAGATTCCACAGCTTAAAATTAAAAAAGAAAGCTAATGATAATGTGGGTATTCTCTAATTATTGTGCTATACTGTATGTACTGTATGTGATGATCACATAAAGTATGAAAGAATGCACAATCTCATAAATATAACATAATCTGCTATTTCATAATTACAAGATAATGTGGTATATCATAATGTTGATATAATACATTTATTAAAAGAGAATATTTTTTAAATAATATATTTTAATAAAGCACCTTTCCCAAATCCAAGAATGGTATACATGGTGATAAAGAAAAAAATATATAATAAAAAGCATAGTAATAAATAAACAGGTTTATATAGATAGGGCAATCAGTCATAGGCCCTGGTAAACAGGTGAATTTTGAGTTTGGATTTGAAGAGAGTCAAAGAATTTGTCATTTGACATTTGACATTTGACTTTGGTCCTGTTTGGATTTGGCTCTGTTGGTTTGTTGGTTTGTTGTGTGTGTGTGAGTTTTCTTATAGTTTTGGCTTTTGTTTGTTTCTGTTCGTCTCTTTGTACTTTCGTTTGTGTTTATCCTTGTTTTGTCATTACCTTGCCCTAATGTGTTACATGTTCAACCTTTGTGTTCTTTTGTACTCTGTTCCTGTTGATTACTCTCGTTTTCCCTTATTTATATTCCTAGTTCGCTTGTGTTTTTGTGTGAACTTTTGTATATAAGGTTAGTGTTGTTTGTTTGGTACATTCTACACACTCAGTTGATTTTGTATTAGTAACACTAGTCTAGTACGGGTGAGTGCCGTTTGTCTTGTATGGTTTTGGGTAGTCAGGGGAGGTTAGTTAAGGTGTTGAAGACGCCGAAGACCGTGTGTTTCAGGTTTTCTTTTGTAGTCAGATTAGCTTTCCCTCACTTTCCTAGCCAGCTCCATTTTGTTTGTTATTTTCTTTTCTTTGCAGCACTCTCTTACCTCGTGTGTTATCGTGTTTTACCAGTCACTTATTCAATTTAAAATAATAACTTTTGCACCCACCTTTGCTATCACGCTTCCTAGTCCCTCACCAGAACCCACCTGCTTCCAAAAGAATTATCCTAAATGTTACACCCCTGTACCCCTAGACACTTGGGGTCGTAACACTGACAATATTTCTAAGGTGGAAAAAAGATGCCTTAATCAAATTTTTCAAATGAGGCTCAAAAGACAGGAGAAGATCAGGTGTGACTCCCAGATTCCTGACTACAGCTGACGTGTGAATGGGAAAGCCATTTGCCATTACTGTGAAACTCTTGAGATTTTTCAGTTAATATTTGCTACTAACTAGGGTGAGAGAGGCCTTTGCATTTGTGGGGACTGTTGGACTGTTTCTTTGCTTGGAAAGTAGTGTAGCTGGGTTGCCAAGTGCTTCCAACGACAGATCTGCTGAGGTGCAAAAAAATACTCTTTGAGAGTGTGCTGTAACTGAGGCCAATAGGTGTGACTCCCCACTAGAAATAGGAAATTTTGTGTGCGGGTTCAACAGCTGACAAGCTATAGCCTGTGGTTATTGCAAATGTGTGGAAAGGAGTCCATGCTGTCTAACAGTTATTGCAGGTGGAAAGGAGTCCATGCTGTCTAACAGGGTTCTGAGGGAGACCCTGTGAAATGTATCCTTGTCAGCAGTGGAAAGGTTACAGTTACTGACAAGAGTGTGAGTGGTGAGCTGGGGAATAGAAGCAGAAGAGACATGCACAGTGCAGAGTTGCAGAGTGTGTTCCCTGTTGGTCAGTTACACTACATCAGATTATCAGATCTCTCTGTGGTTTCTGACACAGAGGTTTGTGTTGTGTTTAACTAAGTAGTAGTCACTGAAAAGTTTGATTTTCCAGCTCCTGGCTTCCTGGCGTCTCCAATGCAAGATCAGTGAAGGACTTTGGCAGGATTGAGTACACATCAGACTGTTAATATTACATCAGAATTAAGAAAAAGGTACAAAGTGGGATTCTGAAAGAATGAGATAAACAGAAAAGAGAAGAAAGGTAAAAAGGCATAGTTTAGATTAAAGATAGTGAAGAGAAAAAACAGGTACAAATAGGTCCTTAATAAGTTCCTCTAGTAAGGTGTGGCCTGTCTACATAATTGTTAGGGATTCGGTAAGAGAAACCGAAACCAATTAATGAACCCACTTCCAGGAGCTGATAAAGCCTAGCCGCAATCCAAATAAAACAGTAGTCGAAGAAACGAGTCGAGAGTCCAGGGAAAGCCAGAGATCCACACAGGGAGTGAGTTACCAAAGCCAGACCGTAATCCGAAACCGAAGACGAAAGAGCAATCCGAGAGTCCAGGGGAAGCCAGTAATACAAAACAGGGAGTGAGTACCGAAGCCAAGCCGTGATCCGAAAAACCGTAGTCAAAGGGAAGAAAAACCCTAGTCCGAAAACCAAGAAAGTCACAAAGAGGAAGAAGGCGTAGCGCGACTAAGTAGCTCGAAAGGAAAACCAATACTGAGCGAGGAGGTAGGAAAAGACTAGTGCTTAAGTACAAGATGTGACGGGGGTGTGGTGGTGAATATGTACACTGATAGGTAGACTAATGAAGTAAGACTACGCCTTCTTCTGCCTCTTCTGTTGCCGGGAGGCAGGGATCGTAACAATAATAGGCAGGACCATAATAGACAAGATCATATTATGACCTTTCTGTGGGGTCAACGCAAATGGGTCAAGTTTTTTTTTATTTTTCATACAGATTACTAGATATTTTCAATAATAATAATGACCCAATTTGCATTCTGTAAGATTTTGCTTTTGAATTTTACATAAAGTCACAAGATCATGGCCAACGTAATTGTATTCCAGAGCATATAGCATAAAGAATGTGTATTTGTGTTCCAAAGTAACTGTGACCATATCTGCACTTGCAAGCAAATTTCAGCAGAATGACTGGTACTCTCCAGGTCATCATTGTTAATGAGAATTTGTTGATGATTAAATAAATGCAAAATATATCATCTTAAAATTAATATTCTGCTCTACTCTATAATGGAGCTGCTTTCAACACCTCCATGCTTCTACAAAAATCAGCATCCTACATTTGAGTGAGGCTCTGTATGTTATACAGTGGGAAAAATAAAAACTGGCAGCTGCCAGCCTTAGGCTTTTTTTCATTTTGTGAAAAGGGTTGTATTTTACATGTGGGTCTCGAACGGCAGAGCGGTGGCACTGTGGCTAATGATCTGTGCCTGTGACTGGAAGGTTGCCAGTTCAAATCCTGTGGCTGGCAGAGGAATCCTACTCCTTTGGGCCTGAGCAAGGCCCTTAACCCCAACTGCTCCAGGGGTGCCATATGCTTCCCATAGGCTGACCCTGTGCTCTGATCCTAAGGTTCTCTCCCTGTCTGTGTGTCTTGTGGAGAGCAAGCTAGGGTATGTGAAAAGACAAATTCCTAATACAAGAAATTGTATATGCCTAATAAAGTGATATAATCTCTCATCTCATCTTTCTATGTTGCAGTGGCTTATTTATGAGGAAAGCTGTTACAGAAAATAGTAGTACTAATATAAGTTGAGGCAGCTGAAACGCTAGACCTCTACATACAGTATATCATATATCTTATCCAGCTGTTTTATGATAGAATCCAGGGTATTGGCTTCAACAACTTAACTTCAACAACTTAACTTCAACAATTACCAACAAAGTAGCACTGTTTTCACAAAAATAAGCATTTTTTGCATAGGGGTTTGGGTTCTTAAAGACATTTGAAATAGAATAATAAAATTTATGCGGCAGATGCATTTCTGGAAAAAGTTGTATAAATCAAAAACATGTAAAAAACTAATTTCCAATAATTAGGCTTGTAGTTAGGGAGGATGTGTTCCCTGGCTGAAATCTAAAATAAAAACAATTACAGTATATCCACACTATACCCTTAAGGCCAAAATCTTTTAAAGTCACTTTTGTCCAAAAAATGGACACTTATGTTGTTGAATTATAATCAGCAGCAAATATACTGGCCAAACACATGAAATTCAATTTCAAAAGCAGTGATGGATGTTTTTTCTGATTTTGTAAATGTCATGGTATAGTGAATAAAAGAACCTATGGTGAAGCTTTGAGTTCACCCACAGAAGAGATAGAACCATTTCATTATACATTTATTTTATTTTTCTCATATATTAATTTATTTTTTGGGCTTGAAATCTTACATTGGTACTTTTAACAGACAGCAATACTGGACACCCCTTTCATCCTATTCATCTAGTAGAGGATACACACATTTTTTAATGTAAGATGTCTATATTGATATATTTTCAAATAGAATGGGGTTTTAATGTTTATTTTAATTTAATGTAAAATTTGAAGGGATGACTGTTATTGAACAATGTGGAATACTGTAGAATGCAGGGGTCATGTACATGTAGGCACCTCTGGACTGTTGAACTATCTTTCCTACTGTTATTCTCAATGAGCATTCAATGCAATTTATAATAAAGTCTTGAATGTAACATTACAAATTAGTTTTTGTTTATTTAGGTTTTTATCCAATTATTAATTTTAGACTTTCATTACATTGTTTGGTTTTTTGAATGTTAATTTCAATTTTTGCTTTTTGGTGGGGAGTAATGATTCTACTAAATGTAGTAGATAAAGTTATTACATAAAGTACAGATCTCAGAGAAAGGTACTTAATAGTGCAACTATATATTTCTACTTTATTATTTTATATCCCTGGTTGTGGTTTGTCTGATTTATTGACTGCCATTACTGACACACTGAGTGGAAAACTGCAGCAGATAGTGTTTTACTTCATTACATTTTAATTGTAAATGCTGTAGTTATTTTGTTTAGAACTGATAGTGTGTTGAAAGTATTTAGTTTGTCTTGTTTTCTTTTTTAAGGGATCTCCCAGCAGGCCGAGTGTAAGTATACTTCATGTAAATAACCACTTTTTGTGGTAGAATTTATTTGACTATTGTTTTATTTATTTAATGCATAAAACATGCCTCATATGAAAAACCCAGTAGTAAAATTTGATTTCATTTATGCTTAAAAAACAATATATCATACATCTGTTCAGTTAACTATATGAGCACATGACCTTTGATTCTTTGAGAGTGTTAGTTTTTCTTCAATGGCTTTCTACTTATCCAGTCTTTTGAGGCATTACTTCTGTGGATCTTAATGCCAGTATCAAAGCCTCTGCAATCTTAAACTAAAACTATTGTCATACTGCTGGAATTCTATTTTCAGTTCAGCTCCAACCTAGAGCAAATATTGAATTTAAAGTCGACCCTCAGTCAGGACTAACATTGATGATAATAGGTTACAGCAAACACTTTCATCCCATAATTGGCACAGCTTATCACTAAACTACAACAGAAAAAAATATTTTTGTTGAAAACATGCACTTTAATTATTCATAAAAGTAATATATACGCTCATTAGCAAGTAAGATATGATGGAAGAACAAGTAAATGGCTGAAGGACTTAAGTACACATCTATATTAAGAGGTCACTTTTTTATAGGACAGAGAAAATACATTTGTTAGAAATATTCACCAGCAAGTTTTTTGCAGTAAGTGGAAATATATAAGCTACGTCCTGTATCTCTACTACATTCTGATTCCTGGGGATCAATGCAGTTTCAGTTGGATTTTAATTTTCTATTTTAGGTATTATTTTAGTGGTCTTTCTTAAAATTTTAAAAAGCTCCCTTTTTCAATTCTCTTTTTGTGTGAGCATCCATTTTTGTGCTTGTTTTAATAACAAAAGACCCATAGTACCCACTTTCTTCACATTGATAATGTTATAGGTTTTTTACTTTTTTTGCAGGAATCGACAATTCTTCATATTTGGAACCAGCACTAAAGTGATGGATGTTGAGGAATCATCCAATGGTTGCCTTTCTGTGGAATTTAGACATCTGGTAACGAGATTATATAATTTTAGTCCAGGCTGTGGTGATGTGAATTTTCCCATTATTGGTTGTCAAACAAAGATATGATTTTGAGCTGTAAAGTAGGGGTTTAACAGACCATTAACAGCATTGCCAATTTAGAGTATAAGTGCAGTTTCTGTAGCTCATCTACTTTCTTCGTTTATTCTTTAGCAACTAAAAGAGCGAAAGTATGTAAACGGAACAAAAGGGAATGAGGTAAGACAACACTGAGGCTTTCATATCTACTACTTTCAAAATGAGGAATTTAAAAATCACACCAGTGCTGGTATAAATGACTAATGTACAAATTCCTCTAATATAGTAAAGCTTTAGTATCTACTTTCTTTTGCTATTAAAAAATAAAAAAATGCTGTTATAAAAATATCAAAATATGTGAAAGCTAATAGATTTAATTGAAACAAATGTTCATAATTAACATGGCAATCTTTTTTCCCAAGAATTTTAAAAGAATATGTAGCTTGTATGTCTTGAACATACATTTTTCCTTACTATGCAGTGGAGGTAACAATATAAATTGTCCTGTCACAAAATAAAGCAAGGCATGCCATAGTAATTTTCATAATTATTTTTTAATTTTATGCACAGGCAACAGTAGTACAATATAGATATATAATTGTCTTTGATTTGCTTTAACACATCGATTTAATTTTTTCATAGGGTCCTCTTACAGTCACGGAAGAACTCCATTCCATAAGCTTTGAGGCTCAATTCTGCATTCAGGGATTAAATATTGACTTAGAGGTTAGTTATAAAAACTTTCTTCATTTAGTAAATAAATTGTCACCACACAATGTACATTTTTCAGAATTAATTAAAATCATTAACCATTTAAACAAATCTGAATATATCGTATACTATATCAACATAAAGACAATTATTAACGTCTGACAGTTTTGTCTCATTCACTTTTATATTAATGTATTATACATATTGTAACACTGCTGGGTATGCCCTAGGAAAATCTTTAAAATAGGAAAGTCCAGGAAAACAGATACAATAACAGCCATATGGTACAAAACAAGTGCTTTTTATTTATAGTGCAAGAAAAAAACGAAATACCAAACAAAAGGCTAAGCTCCCTTTTGAACTCCTGACTAAGGTTTTCAGACCATTACTATAAAAACTGGGCAGAGCGGCTTTAGCAGCTGCCAAAATGGGCTTTTCCAGTCTCTTCACAAAAACCTCTCATCTGCCCATGAGACTCTTAAAAAATTTATTTCCAAAATAAGTCAAGACATATTTCACAGTTTCAAAGTTCAGTCACCAGCAACTAGTCAGGTGGCTGAGGGCATTCTCCATAGCTTTTAAAGGGTTGCCTATTTTGTTTGGGCCTCTTGCCCTCATACAATATGTTTGTAAAATATACATATTTTTATACATACAGTAAAAATAATAATACCTTACACTTATATAGCGCTTTTCTGGACACTCCACTCAAAGCACTTTACAGGTAATGGGGACTCCCCTCTACCACCAATCTGTATCATCTACCTGGATGATGCGACAGCAGCCATAGTGTGCCTGTACACTTACCACACATCAGCTTTCAGTGGGAAGGAGAATAGAGCGATGAAGCCAATTCATAGATGGGGATTATTAGAAAACCATGATTGGTAAAGGCCAATGGGAAATTTGGCGAGGTTGCCACGGTTACATACCTACTCTTTTTGAGAAACACTCTGGGATTTTTAATTACCACAGAGAGTCAGGACATTTTACATCTGAAATATGGCACCTTTTTACAGTTTACTGTCTCCATCACTATACTGGGGCATTAGGACCCACATAGATTGCAGAGTGAGCACCCCCTACTGTCCCCACTACCAGCAGCAACCTTAGTTTTTCCTAGGAGGTCTCCCATTCAGGCTCACACCTGCTTAGTTTCAGTAGACTGCCAGTTGTGAGTTGCAGCATGAGGTGGCTGCTGGCTTAATATATATGTAAAATCACATAATCACATGAATATATAATATAATATGAAATCATGCTAAGGTCATTATATTATATAGCTATCTTGGAAACAAACAGGCAGTAGAAAACCAAATATATATATACGTTTGTTTTTACATACTGTATGTTCAAACTGATAAACATTTATTTTTTCCAGACCTGCTCTTTGCCTCTTGTTGTTATTTCAAATGTAAGTCAGCTTCCAGGTGGCTGGGCCTCAGTAATTTGGTACAATCTACTGACAGATGACCCCAGGGTAAATGTTTACAATACTTTTCTAAACTTTAAAAACTATTCTTAATTAGTGAAACATTTCTTGAAACATGCAGCTTGAAATATTTCTCTGCTTTCTTAACCCGATTAACCTCAAACACAAGTAAAGGTTTATTCCATGCTGAAAAGAGAAGAAAAGAAATGACACAACACACCTGAAGAAGGCTCCACAGCCAAAACCTTGTGTTTCTTTTCTTCTCCCTTCAGCATGGAATAAGCGTTCCTTTGCAGCCTTTTCATGCAGACGCAGCTACCTACTTGAATAACCTCAAAAACGTCCATCATTGTATTATTTCTGATGAAAAGCTGAAAGTGGATTACATTATGATTAAGTCTCTTTAGTTATAATTACAGAGATCGATGCATCTGGTAGGTAAACATATCTCTATTCTGTTAGCGCCCTTCAATGCCCCAGTATTTCATAGTGTCAGAAAATACAACTTGGGTTTTGATTCTTTTGAATTGAAAAAGACTGATAGATAAATATGTACAAAATAAAAGAAGTAGTGGGGAATCCATTATTCCCTCATTGTTAATTCCCCAACAATTAACAATGATTAACACATTTATCCAGAAACATGCAGTATTTCCAGATTTAATATAGCTTTACACAGTCTAACCATTTTCCATTTACCTTATTTGTGAAAATATAATTAAAGTTAAGTTCTGATGTCCTCAAATTGAGAAGTTAAGTTACCAGGGAATTAGATCCATTGTTCCTGGATGAGATAGTACTATCAAACATTTATTTTGCTCTCAAGGGGTCTTCTAGCACATTTGTGTAGAACTCCCACAACTCTTTGTTTTTAGAACTACCTCCTGTTTTAAATCTTAATGTATCTTTTCTTAGTTATTTTTTTGTGACCACATATCTGTCTATTAGAAAAATATACCTCATGAAAAATTTACATAATGCGTTCTAATATGGGTTTGCTCATGTAGATATATTTAACAAATATGTAGACTAGATGGTTTACTTTGGGCATTATTATGAAAACCTTAAGGATAATGTTTCATAAAAGAATAAGAACAGTGTGATCTAGTCCACTAATTCATAACCTGTCTCTTCATTTTAATTACTGTGAAAATCATTATACCCTGTCTAATACTTCTAGCTTATGGGGTATTTGTTTTAACAAATAAGCACAGTAGGAAATCTTTATGATTTACTTTGCCTTATAGACCAAAATCTATAAGTTATAAGTTATGTTTCAAATGTATTAGTTCTAACTGATGTTTATAGAATTATTTTGAAAATAATCTACTGTGTCATTCTTTTTTCCCCCAGAACCTATCTTTTTTCACTAACCCTCCCCCAGCAACCTGGAGCCAACTGTCCGAAGTTCTGAGCTGGCAGTTCTCTTCCTTTGCAGGCAGAGGACTTACAAAAGAGCAGCTTTGCATGCTGGGGGAAAAACTCTTAGGTAAGGAGTCTATACGAGATTATAGACTATGTTATATTATGAGATTATGTTATATAATGAAATATAACATAATCTCAATGTTTTATAAATACTTTGATCAATATCTGCTCAGTTCTAATGTACAGTAATACACAAAAAGCCTGAATATCTGAATATATGTGATAAACTGAGAAATAAAGAGAATATTGACTGTTGTGTTTATTTGTTTCTTTTAGACTTGTTCTTTAAGCTGGACAAAGGTATTCATAGTCAGGTGGAAGAATGGTGTACACAGCCTCTAGTATTTTCTTAGTTAATTAGCAAAAGAGCTAAACCTGCCTTCAGCCAGCTGTTGAGAGAGGCTATGTGCCTCAAGGCATAAATATCAAAGATGATAGTTTAGCTAATAACTGGGTAATTGGATTTTCCATATATTGTAAAACAAAACATAGTCTAATTGTTAAATTTTGTGATTTAAAAAAAGATGCATAGTTTCTGTAACATAAACGTCTGTCTGTTGTGCTGTGTGGTGCTTTCTCTTTCCTTTTAGATTATTTCATACTTGCATACTAATATTGGTGCACAAAGTTTTAATTATGTAGAATAACTTGGAAAGTATGCAATCTGGGGGTTGACTGCTGTATTTTTCACCTAATGTATTATCTTAAATCTAGATGATTTCTGTCATAGACATGTTTTAAAAACATATACATTATTTTTTTGGTGTAATATAATCTACTCTATGCATGGAATTACCCAATAATAAAATGTATATTGAACATAACATTCATACTAATCTCATGATTACAAACACAACAAACACAAATTGATTGCCTCTAAAGGAAAAATATGTGTTTATGTCTCAATACTTTCGGAGGTATGTGTACTGTATATGGTGTGTAACAATGCAGGAGTGGGAGGAACTGCGGCGAGAACCGGTAAAAGTCGATGCCCCATCTATGGGGGCAGAGGCACCAGTGTGAGGTTAGCGAAAACCGAAAAATAAATACAAGTAATAAATACAATACAAAAAACGGGGAAAAACTAAAGAAAAAAGAAAAAGAAAAATGCACTGTGCACCGCGGCATCCAGGCTGATTTCCCTCTCTCTCTCACACCCGAAGAATGCTCCACAGCTGAAATGTGTTTCTTTTCAGCATGGAATAAACCTTTACTTGTTCCTTTGCAGCCTGCGCACGCTGACGCAGCTGTAATGTTGCCATAGCCAAAATGTAATGTAGTGTGGCTCTTTGAAGGTACCAGTTCTGTAGGGTTTGGGCATTTACTGGAACAATTATTAA